CGGCCACCCCCAGGGCGGGTCCCCCCGGGCGGGTAAAACACGCGTGGACCTCGAGGTGCAGGGGGGGATGCGCGATCTTTCCCACCCCCCGCCTCCCCCCGCGCACCCCGAGCACAACCGAGGTCCGTCGAGCCGGGGTCGGCCCTGCGGGCATGTGGGCACCGGTGGGAGAGAGCCTGAGGAGGGGAGGAGTGCGCGGGGACAACTTGGCTTTTGCCAGAAATTCCCCCCAAGCCCCCCCCCGACCTGTATCTCGAGGGCTCCGCGGAGGAGGGAGGTGGGCACTGGTTTTTTCCTCCGTGTTTGTTTTTAGTAGCCGTGGGTGGATTTTCCTTTACGGGACTTTGACCCCTGGGGCGTTCTGGAGGACGCGGCAAGGAGACGCGTAGTTCAGCCGTGAGCTGGGTGAAGAACCTGCTCCTGCTGTTTGCTTTGGAGCTGCCACCTGCCCGCTTCACTTGACGCGCCCCAGCTCGGGTCTCGAAAGGGTGGGTGAAGCGTTATTCCCGGCTCATCTTCTCCAGGACGCTTCGGGGGTTGTTGGTCACACTCCCCCAGTTTCCCATCTGGATTTTTCCTGAAAACACCATGAGCATCTCACTTTTTTTTTTTGGGGGGGGGAGGGAATTGCAAACAGTCTTGAACCATTATGGTTTTCATTGACAAAAATATATATATATATGTTTGGGTAAACATTTAACGGTTGTTCGCTCGGTGTCAAACTGACTCGTCTCCGGCATGAGCAGGGTTGGGTACGGAGCCCCCCGGTAGCTGTGCTGGGGTGGGAAATGCCACGGATCAGCCGGCCCTGGGTACGCAGGACCGGTGGTCCCATACCCGACGCTCGTTTAACAACTGCGCAGCTCCGGCGGTTCATCCCCAGGCTGCTTTGGCCGGAGCACGTGGCTTTTGGCTGCGCCGCGGGATGGGGATGCGTGTTTGTTGTCGGATGCTGCGGGATCATCGCTTCAGAGCTGGGAAACGCCCCGGCATGCTTTTAGGTGCCGTTCGCTGGGGGGGTCGCCAGCCACGGGGCTCCGGGCAGGGGGTTAGCATGAGGATGTGTGTGATGCCGCCCCGGCAGCGGTGGTTGAAAAAGAGTGAAGTCATGAAAAGGTGCTGAAAAAGTGTGAAGCACGTATGCAATGCTCCGCCAGAGTGAAATCCAGCGGGTCTGAAGTCTGTTCTCGCTCTCTGCCGGGGCAGGGAGGGGACGGACAGCCGTGAATTACACCGGCAGACCGTGCTCCTGCCTTCATGCCGGGGTGCACGGGGGGCGATACGTGTTGCAAACAATTCCTAGAAACCCAGGGGCTTGTCGGGCCAAACCACAAGCCGTTACACATTTCCTCCCGCTCAGCCGGTAAAGGTGTGGGTTAACAGCCCCGCTCGCTGCAGGATTTTCTGTTCTCTGGGCATCGTTGCTTTTATTTATTTATGCTGAAGCTGCG